ACACACACACACACACACACACACACACACACACACACACACACACAGTTGCCTGGAAGCAAGTGCAGAGCGAGATGCGGCTCAAGCTCAACTGCTAAATGTACTTTTTCCCCCGTTTTCCATCTCCAGTGACTTGGTCCGACATGGTTCTACAGCAGAGGTAAACAAAACATCCTGTAAACATATTAAGTGTGATGACACACAAACGACAGCCAGGCAGTCAGTACTATCTGATCTGCAATATATATTACTTTGTCGATACAATAGTTTCTCTCTCTTTCTCTGCAAACTGATTATCAGCTAATGGTCGTATCAAATGACACAAATTATATTTCACTCCACCACTTTTCTCGTTGTCCTCGTGAATTTCACTTTACCCTTTTTCCTTCCTCCCACTCAACATACTGTAAATCCTTTCCTTCCTTTGCTCTGTCCTATATATCCACATCTCTCTCTCTCCCAGCATCCCTCTCTCTCAGTATTTCCTGGTAATTGCTTTATAGCTCTATTAGCGGCTGTTGGCAGGGTGCCACAGGTCTCTGGCCCCGTTAAAGGCCCCTCCTCAAATCTCGGGCCGAAGCCTCCTTTTCTCTCAGAGTTTAAACACCATTAACTCTGGAATGAGCCAAACACGTCCGATTAGATTTTCATTCACTTCCCTGCTCTGCCTCTTTCAGACTGATAACATTTATGGATGTATTATGATATGGCAGTGTTCTTTACAGAGAGAATTCAGACAGCCACGGTCTGCATCGTGTCGGCTCAGCTCTGGCTCACTAACTGCTAGTTCCATCCATGACAGATCTCTGGTTTTTCATCCATGTTTTAGTGAAGAAGAGTAAGAGGCAGAACTATGATGAGATGGCATCCTCCATCAGGACACAATCTATTGCTCTTTTAGATACTACGGGTCCATTTGTAAAGTCAGCCTACTAACCCACAAAAAACAATGCACTAAAACGAATTCAACACAGTGAAACAACAAGTAACATCTGCTTTACCTAGCACACGCAACAGTCATTGGCATTCCATGGCTAATTCATTATTTGTTTAAATACACAAAGATAAAGTGCCTGTTGTGGTTATAAAAGTGTGTTTAAATCCTACCAATGTGCATTAATTCATTCAGAAAATAGTTTTGTAGTCACATTCAAGTTCACTCAGAAGCCGTTCTGTTGATTCCTCCTGTGTCAGTAGCCTCATATTCCAATTCAGGCTCCTCTTTTATCAAATTATGGCGGATGTTTACAAGTCATTATCACACATTTAATTAAAACGAGACACGTTTTCCCTTCATTTAGATGCCATATAATCCCATTCATTATACTAAATTCAAGCTTCAAAGATTCAAAGGCTGTAATGTAATTCATGTCGGAGATTAACTGGCCGAGGATCGAAGCACAGAAACGATGACATTTCCTGCACAACAAGTCTTGTTGACGGGTGCGTAGGACCCAAAGTCCTGCTCACGGTCTTGTTCTCACTTGATCAACAGCGCTAAGATCCTGAGGCCTTTCACAGCTGAGGATTCAGTGTCAGACTTTCGTAATTTACATCTATGAGAAGTACAATCAGGTTCCTGTTGCTGACTAAAGTTCTGTATTTTCAAATTGGTGTGTATGTTCTCATACACATAATGAGGAATAACACCGCTTCATCATTCTGAAATTTTGCTCACAATTTGTGGGATCCACCGATAACACGCTATACACGTGATACCATAAAATCAGGATGTGTAAATATGTTTCTATCTAAGTGCAATAAAACAAGAAGAAAACCAAAGTATACAAACACTATATCGTAGGAATATGCAGCGGAATTAGACTCTTAACAATCTTTACTACGCATTCATTCTGACGATACGACGGCATCCTGCGTTACTGGAAAGACAAATTCAGGAGATGCACGCAAGACAACGTCGTCCTTGAGTATCCTATGAGCTGGTCTGCAGTGATAGGGCTGACTGAGCAGAAGCACAAACGTGCATAATGTCACACAGTCCTTCACAGCGCGTCTGTATGTGAACGGAGCATTGTCGCTCAGCTGCAGCTTAACAGACCACATCTGTCTGCAGGATTAAGTGTTAACAACTTCCACAAATTCTGGACAGAACATTGAAGCCTGTACAGTATTTGGATCAGTTCAGCTAAACTATCTACGTGCAGCGATAAGAGGCACACACACACACACACACACACACACACACACACACACACAACTGGGGAATGCACATAGCTATGCACGAACAAGGCCCTGAATATACAGAGTATTGCTTGCTTTGCCCTGAAGCTATATCAAGCAATAGTTTTCACTCAATACAGCCTGAAACCACTGAGAGATCCCTTTTACCATACTCAGTCCACTTATCAAATTGAAGGTGATAAAGTTCTCTCTCTATTTCAATTCCCCTTTAGCATCTCTACAGATTACTACACTGGTTCTCAGCCTAAATCCTAAAGGAGGCATGTTCACGTCTGATATTAAATGTGAGACGTTACATCAGGTAAATGTGTCCTGTGTCTCGAGAGCTTGCCCTGAGGCTGTGTTAAAAAAAAAAAAAAAAACAGGCATAAAACCAATGCATCATTCCTCAGCTCACTGGGCTCACTTTCTGAAGGTTAGGCACTTTGAGCCACGAGGTGTCTGCAAATTCAGACAAGCAGGGAATCTTTTAGACATCACAATCGCCAGCATCATCGGAAATGACTTGCTCAATGGATGACAGACATCATGGGGTTAAACTACTACACAACAGCTTCGCATTGTGCCGATGGGAAGGTTCAGTCGAAACGACAAACCCCAGATTAGCTCTGCTACTTCACTGCTATTGGCAGCTAGTGACATAACAGCTGTTGTTGGCTATATGAACACACTTGTGTGATGTTTGGAAGTCTCCCCCGAGTGGTATTATCAAAAGAAGATATGTGGAAGTTGGATGTGGGGAATCAGACACAGAGGAATAAATTTAAAACATGAATGGGCTTCGATTGTCTCGTTTTTCTACAAGCAAACTTTGTTAAAAGATAACCGTTAAGTAACAACCACCGTCAATAATTCAAGAGGGAGTAGACGGAGGAAGAGTTTCTGTATCTTAATGCTATCTTTCACATTCACCATATGAATTTAGAAACTGTTGGAACATGCTAATGAAGACTTGTGGAAGCGGTAAATACAGGTACCACTCATGGATTAACATTCACAATAATGATCGAGAAATGTTTTTTTTTTACTCGACTGTCATTCTATAAATAGCCTTAGCTGCAGTGGAAACATATCCAAGTAAACTCAAGCTGGTATTATAGAATACAGAAAGGCTACGAGAAAATCCATTTGCTCTCTGTGGCGACTTGCCCTGCAAAATCCTCTCTTAAGATTGCCCTTAAAATGTCTCCTCTGGGTCTTTAGAGCAAATAAAGAGCATGAAAAAAAATGAGAGAACTTGACCAGACTGCTCTCCTCACGGAGTTAGATATAAATGATGGCCAAACTTTTTCTGCTTCAAACTTTCTCTTTTTGAGTTTTATGAAACTCTGGATTGATTACATTTTCAAACCACTCAAAAAGCTCTCATTAGCATCTCTGCCTTCAGTTTGCTTTTCAGCAGCGGCTCTGTCCGACCGCTCTGTCCGACCCCTCCTTCCTCCCTTCACCTCGTGGAGCGCAGAAGAAGAGGAGGTGGTGGAGATAAGAGGAGGAGAAGCAGAGAGAGGCAGATAAGACAGCGGAGAGGGGGGCACAACAGACTCCCTCAGCGTCCATTACAATCTGAACATTCACAGCGACCATCACGCTCATAATGGCCTTGGTAAGATGAAACCTGGCTAATTAGCCTCTCCTCTGCTCTGAAAAGACACTGTGTGTGTGTGTGTGTGTGTGTGTGTTTGAAATAGAGATTGAGTTAGAAAGCAGGATATGCAAGCTAAGAATAGCTTCTGTAGATACAGAATAATTGAGCAATTATCTTCAGTATGTTCCAATATTTCCTACATTTCACAGACTGTATTTGGTGCAGTGCAACCAGTGAAAAGCCTCCAAAGCGAAAGCCCCTGAACATTTGATTAGAAAAGATCAAGCTATAGAATCGTATGCCATATTCATAGAATTCACACTTTTGTACAATTTCCATTTTTGCACTGATGGCGGAGTGCTGGAGCTGTGTGATAAGTTGCTTTGCCAACAGCTCCAGGTTGAGTTGAGCTATGGCCCTCTAGCTGACTGAATATCCTGAGAAACAGGATATTGTGGAAGGACGCGCATGAATAACGCAGAACTCACTGATATTCCGTGTTGCCCCTCTGTCTCTTTTACAGTTTTGAGGTTACAGGGTTTAGGTTGGAGTTCAGAGGGGTGTAAGTTAATGTTGGCCGTTTGTTCTAATATCAGAGAAAACCTTTTGTGCCGAAATATTTTTGTAAGGCATAAAGTAATCACAAAAGGGCATGAAGTATGAGGAATTACTTAACGTACAGATATAGTTTTTGTTGGGTTGTTATCAAGAAACACCTAAAAAAATCATTATTAAGTTTTTCAAAGAGATAAGCTGATTCTTTTCTCCAATACTTCTTGCGCAGTATAACCAGAATCACTATAATAAGTTCCCTGTAACAAGAATAGTAATAATGGGATTTTGGTAAACGTTATGGTAGCCCAGACAATCACCGTAACTTGGTGCCGTGTCATGAACAACTATATCTATCTGGCTAACTTTAGCTCACATTAGTCACCATGGTCATACCAAACCTGCCCCTGAGTGGACTGAACTGAGCATTGGTACATTTCAATACTTAAATTATGAATTATACTTTTGATTTGTAGGACGAAAGTTGTGTTATTTTCTAACTTAGTCTCTCTTTAATATCACGTCTAGGTGCCTCCTGCTTCCTCTTAGCTCAACGTGACCTACCTTCTCTAGCAGGTGGTGAGGCTCTGCACACTAGCGACTTGACCTGTGTGTGTGTGTGTGTGTTTGTTTAAGTCTGTCACAGGCGCAAACTGTGGCTGCAACCGACCCCACCAACCTTCCTGTGGTGTAGGTGTGTGTGATTTACGACACCACAGACACACAAACCACAGGCAGTGAAGGTCAAAGCATTAACAGGTTCCTCACTCTTTAACATTATTTAAAAGCTAGCAGCTGCCGACCTAACTTCACTGTTTCCTTTTCCGTGTCACCGTTTCTTTTATACACACACACACACACACACACACACACACACACACACACACACACA